GTTATCTATTGTGATGCTTCAGGTATTGGATTGGGTTGTGTGATGATGCAGCATGGTAAGGTTGTGGCTTATGCTTCTAGACAACTAAGAAAGCACGAAAAGAACTACCCGACCCATGATTTAGAGTTAGCTGTGGTGATTCATGCACTAAAGATATAGAGGCACTACTTGTATGGCATTCATGTTGATATTTATACGGATCATAAGAGCCTCCAGTACATCTTCAAGCAAAGGGAATTGAATCTTCGTCAAAGGAGATGGTTGGAGCTACTTAAAGACTATGACGTTAATATTCTATACCATCAGGGGAAGGCAAATATAGTTGCCGATGCACTCAGCCGTAGATATATGGGTAGCCTGTCGTATTTGCAGCCAGAAAAGAGGGTAATAGCCCATGAGGTTCATCAGCTAGCTAGTCTTGGAGTTAGGTTACTGGACTCAGGTGACATTGGAATTACTCTTCAGGATACGGCAACATCATCTTTAGTAACTGAAGTGAAGGAACGCCAATACGAGGACCCTGTGCTAAGTCATTATAGAGATACCACTCTTCAGAAGGAGAAGACACCGTTTGAAATTACCGAAGATGGGGACCTCAGATACCAAGGGCGATTATGTATGCCTAATGTTGCAGGGTTGCTTCGGCAGGTCATGGGAGAAACCCACTATTCCCGTTATTCTATCCATCCAGGAGAGACAAAGATGTATCATGACATCAGGGAAATATATTGGTGGGACTGAATGAAAAAGGACATAGATGAATTTGTTGCTCAGTGCCCTAACTGTCAGCAGGTTAAGATTGAGCATAAAAAACCTGGTGGAGTATTGCAGGCTATGGAGATTCCGACTTGGAAATGGGAAATAATCAATATGGACTTCATCATAGGCTTACCTCGTACCCAGCATAAGTTCGATTCGATATGGGTGATTGTTGATAGGCTCACAAAGTCAGCCCATTTTCTTCCCGTTAGAACTACTTACTCCTCAGAAGCTTATGCGAGGCTTTATATTAAGGAGATAGTACGATTACATGGTGTACCTGTATCTATTATCTCAGATAGAGGAGCTCAATTTACAGCTAACTTCTGGAGATCCTTCCAAAAGGGATTGGGGACTCAAGTAAGCCTTAGTACAGTATTTCATCCCCAGACTGACGGACAGGCTGAGCGTACAATTCAAATACTGGAGGATATGTTGCGAGCTTGTGTAATAGACTTCAAAGGTATCTGGGATAATCATCTGCCGCTTATTGAGTTCGCATATAATAATAGCTACCATTCCAGCATTCAGATGGCTCCACACGAAGACCTTTACGAACGAAAGTGTAGGTCGCCTATAGGGTGGTTCGACGTTGGAGAATCTGGATTACACGGGCCAGACCTGGTTCAGCAAGCCATAGAAAAAGTAAAGCTTATCCGGGATCGACTATTGACAGCTCAGAGTCGTCAGAAGTCATATTCAAACATGCGACGTCGAGATTTAGAGTTCGGGGTTGATGATTGGGTATTCTTGAAGGTGTCACCTATGATGGGTGTGATGAGATTTGGCAAAAAGGGTAAACTTAGCCCATGGTATATCGGGCCTTATAAGATCATTCGAAGGGTGGGCCGAGTAGCTTATGAGTTAGAATTGCCCTCGCAATTGGAGTCTGTCCATCCAGTTTTTCATGTATCTATGTTACGAAAGTACATTGATGATCCTACCCGAGTGGTACCTATGAATGATGTACAGATTATAGAGGACTTGTCATATGAGGAAATTCCGGTTGCCATTCTAGACCGACAAATCTGCAAGCTACGGAATAAAGAGGTAACCTCCATGAAAGTGCTTTGGAGGAACAACAATGTAGAAGAAATGACTTGGGAGGCTGATAAAGACATGAAGTCTAGATATCCCTACCTATTTCCTGTTCTAGAGAAGGGTCTAACTGAGACGTCATAACCTCAAGGTGCGTGTATAAATTCTTCTATTGATTATTGTCGTTGTCCTGTGTGTCGTTGAACTATTAAGCTTCTACGGGGAGAGTTGGTAGTAGTATTGTTACAAAAGGCGACCTTGCCAAAGTTATATGGATAACGGAGAGTGAAACATTCGAGGACGAATGTTTCTAGGGGGGAAGGATGTTACATCTCGCGTTTTCGTACGTTAAAATTTTGTTTTCCGTTAACCGACGTAGACTCAAGGATGAGATCATCTTGACGTTAACGTACTTATGCTATTTATAGCAAGCGATAAATAAGTGTTATGAAGGATAAAGGGGTACACGAATTAAAGGAAATGAGTTTCGGTAAAAGTGGCCCATTTGGAATAAAATACGGGTCGAGCGATAATACCCGATAATTATGAACTAGTACCATGCAAGGTACCATATGACCACAGTAGTATAATATATAAAGTATATATGAAGTATTTTAAAAATAAATAGAATTTTAAGTAATTTGGAGCAATTTTTAAATTATGCGGATAATTGATTAATTATCGGGTAACATAACATTACCCGGTTAACTAATAAGTGGATAAAAATGAATAAATTAACCCCCACACACACTTGGCAAAAAGCCACCAAGTCAAAAATGTGACTAAGAAGTCACTTTTGTCTAGGTGGCAAGATAAGCATGAAACAGAATAGATAACTATCCAAGTTATCTGTTACAAATCCATATGAATCAAATAATCCAAAAAGGTTATTCTTTCCCAACTTCAAAAGGAAGCAGAAACGTTAATCCTTCAATTCTTAAAAAGAATCAGAAACATTTTCTCTTATGGTTTCAAGGCATGACTTAAAGTTTTAGCAAAATAAGACTTAGCTAGAGAACTTGATAATAAATTCACTAGAGGGGAAAGCACATTCTGTCTTGGTTTCAAACCAAAGACGTTAGCAGCAGAGTATTTCGTCCAAAATCTTTAGCAACCTTTCAATTAAAATTTCAAGCAGACTTTCGGCCATATTTCGCAGAAGCAAATTCATTCAAATAATTCCGCGAATAGGTATATTAAGGCCCATCCCTTCTTTCTTTTGGCATGGTTTAGATTATGCGAAAGAAACGAGCAAATACACGGTTTCTATAAATTATTCTATTCATAGAAATAGTAGGGGTGACTATATTCTTGATTCCCCATGAGAATTATTATTTTCTTCTGTTCTTGGGTCTCAAAATAATACGCAGTTGGAAAAATTTATCCGGAAAGAATATTGAGATTATTACGTATTTTTCATGCATTTCATACATGTGCATTGACCCATGACCAGATAACGTTATATACGCGTATATTTGTAAATATATGTATATGGGATATGGGAAAAGGTTACGCCGTTATATACGCATCACCACCTGATCAGCTGGTATATGATGATGATGATGTTGCCTACAGTGGCTGAAATATGATTCAAACGACGTTATATACGCATATATGGGTATGTATTCAAATGGCGTTATATACACATATATATGTATGTATTCAAACGGCGTTATATACGCGTATATCTGTATGTATATATATATATATATGTATGTGAGTATGACATGGCTCAGTCCTGTCTTTGTACAGTTATGTTTCTGTTAGAGGTCTGTAGACAGTATGTCTAGTTGGGTTATACGTGGCCTTGTCGGCTTTCAGTTTTTGATGTATAGTTGTCTATAGCAGCCTTGCTGGCTCGCCCACTGTATTTTGTCTGTATACGTACATATGCCTTGATGGCAGGCTTCTTTCACGTATGTTAATTTTGTAATGCAGCAGATGTTATTCAGGTTCATATTTTAGATGTATGCTTAGGGGTGTTTGATTGGTAAAACTCAGGCGCTCGTCGCAGCCCATCGGTTTGGGTCGTGACAAGGGAAACATTTGTTTTGTTGTTTTGCTTTTGCTTTTTTGCTTGCCTTTTTTTTAAACACTTTACGGTTCCCAATAAGGTAATCAAAGAAGAGTAACCGGCTCAAATGGGTTTGCAAAGGGTGGGGAGTGTTTGGGTAGCGAGAATAAAGGCCTTCATCATCCCAATCAGACAAAGTTGACACTGCAGAAAAGCTAAACATAATACATTTTGACTACATCCGCATTTACAGCTGCTTCGGGATCATTCCATTCGATATCGCCCAGATACAATTCCCCTTTTGGCAATATCTTTCTGATGATGTATGGGCCCTTCCAATTAGGAGAAAATTTTCCTTTCGCTTCCTGGTGATGGGGAAGGATGCGCCTTAAAACGAGTTGTCCTACTTCGAAATTTCTAGGTCGTACTTTCTTGTTGTAGGCACGGGCCATTCTTTGTTGGTACAACTGCCCGTGGCAGACCGCGTCCATTCGCTTTTCATCGATCAAGGTTAACTGTTCCAGCCGGGTTTTAACCCACTCACTGTTTTCAATTTTAGCTTCAACGATGATCCGGAGAGAGGGGATTTCAACCTTTGTGGGTATTACGGCTTCAGAGCCATAAACCAAAAGATACGGGGTGTCTCCAATTGATGTGCGTACAGTAGTGTGATTTCCCAACAATGCAAATGGTAAATTTTCATGCCACTTCCTGGAACTTTGAATCATCTTTCTCAAAATCTTTTTTATGTTTTTGTTTGCTGCTTCGACGGCACCATTGGCTTTGGGCCGATAAGGAGTAGAGTTCTGGTGCGTTATCTTGAATTATTCGCATATCTCTCCCATCAAATGACTATTCAAGTTTGCAGTATTGTCAATGATAATAGTTGTAGGAATTCCAAAACGGCAGATAAGATTGGAGTGCACAAAATCTGCCACAGCTTTCTTAGTGACGGATTTGAGAGTGATGGCTTCAACCCATTTCGTGAAGTAGTCAATGGCAACTAGTATGAATCTATGCCCATTTGAGGCTTTCGGCTCGATTGGCCCAATGACTTCCATACCCCAAGCAACAAATGGCCAAGGTGCTGACATGGGATGCAGTTCTGTGGGAGGTGCATGAATCAAATCACCGTGCACCTGACACTGATGACACTTCCGGACAAAGCTGAAACAGTCCTTTTCCATGGTCATCCAGTAATAGCCCGCTCGAAAATTTTCTTTGCTAAAACATGCCCATTCATGTGGGGTCTGCATACTCCCGTGTGTACCTCATGCATGATTCTTCCAGCCTCTTCCGCGTCAACACATCTCAACAAGTTGAGGTCCGGAGTTCTCTTGTACAAGACATCACCACTAAAAAAGAAACCACTCGTATGTCGCCTAATGGTTCTCTTCTGGTCTCTACTGGATTGCTCGGGATATTCTTGCGTTTTCAAAAACCTTCTGATGTCATGATACCATGGTTGGGTATTTGGTGTTGTTTCAACCATATTACAATAACCATGCCTTTCCCGAATTTGGATTTCCAATGGATCAATGTAGGTATTGCCTGGGTACGGCAGCATTGAGGCTAAAGTGGCAAGTGCGCAGCTAGTTCATTGTGGAAGTGAGGAATGTACCTGAACTCTATTGACTTGAATCGTTTGCCAAGTTCTTCCACATGTTGCCTATAAGGAATAAGCTTGACGTCTCGGGTTTCCCATTCTCCTTGAGCTTGTCGGATAATCAAATCTGAGTCTCCCATGATTAACAGTTCTTCAACATCTTGGTCGATTGCCATGTTCATGCCCATAATGCAAGCTTCATACTCGACCGTGTTATTTGTGCAGAAAAACCAAAGCCTAGTTGTGGCCGGGTAATGCTGGCCGGTGGGCGAGATCAAGATTGCCCCAATTCCAACACTTTTTGCGTTTACCGCTCCATTGAAGAACATTTTCCAAGCATTGATGTCTTCGGATATTGCCTCAACTGAGTTTACCTCTTCATCCGGGAAGTAAGTATTCTAAGGTTGGTATTCATCATCGACCGGATTTTCAGCCAAATGATCTGCTAATGCATGGGCTTTCATTGTCGTGCGAGTGACATATACTATGTCGAATTCTGTAAGCAAGATCTGCCACTTTGCTAGCTTCCCAGTGGGCATTGGCTTCTGGAATATGTATTTCAAAGGATCCAGCCTGGTTATGAGGTAAGTGGTGTAGGCTTGCAAATAATGCCTCAGCTTTTGAGCGACCCAAGTCAAAGCGCAGCAGGTCCTTTCCAACAAAGTGTACTTGGCTTCATAACTGGTGAACTTCTTGCTCAGATAGTAAATAGCCTGCTCTCTCTTTCTGGTCACATCGTGTTTCCCAAGGACGCAGCCGAAAGAATTTTCCAAGACTGTTAGGTACAAGAACAAAGGCCTCCTTGGCTCAGGTAGGTCCAAGACTGGTGGATTCGACATATATTCCTTGATTTTATCAAAAGCTCCTTGACATTCATTTGTCCACTTGACTGCTGCGTCTTTCTTCAGCAATTTGAATATGGGTTCACATGTGGATGTCAACTGGGTAATGAATCGGCTGATGTAGTTCAATCTACCCAACAGACTCATAACATCCTTCTTGGTTTTCGGAGGAGGCAAATCTCGAATAGACTTTATCTTTATTGGGTCTAACTCGATGCCCCTCCAACTGACGATGAATCCCAAGAGTTTGTCGGATGGTACCCCAAATGCACATTTGGCTGGGTTCAACTTCAAATCATATTTGCGCAGCCGCTCAAAAAACTCTCAAGTCCCGAACGTGGTCGTCCTGGGTTTTGGATTTGATAATTACATCGTCCACATACACCTCTATCTCTTGGTGCATCATATCGTGAAAAATGGCTGTCATGACCGTCATATAGGTTGCCCCGGTGTTCTTGAGACAAAATGGCATGACCCTGTAACAGTATGTACCCCAAGGTGTGGTAAAAGTTGTCTTCTCTGCATCTTCTTCATATATCAACACCTGGTGATATCCTGTGTAACAATCCACGAAAGACTGTATCTCATGTTTGGCATAGTTATCAACAAGGATATGGATGTTCGGCAAAGGGAAGTTATCTTTGGGACTTGCCTTGTTTAAATCTCTATAATCCACACATACCTGAGTCTTCCCATCTTTCTTTGGCACTGGGACTACATTAGCTAACTATGTAGTGTACCGGACCACTCGGATCACCCCTGCTTTCAACTGCTTTGTGACCTCTTCTTTGATCTTGTCACTGATATCAGTTTTAAACTTCCTTTGCTTTTGTTGGATTGGGGGACAATCGGGGTATGTTGGCAACTTGTGAACCACCAAATCAACACTCAGCCCTGGCATGTCGTCATATGACCAAGTTAACACATCTTTGAACTCAAACAGGAGTTAGATTAATGCGTCTCGAGTTTTTCCGTCTGTGAAAATGCTTATCTTGGTTTCCCTGATTTCTTCAGAACTACCCAAATTAACCAGTTTAGTATCATTTAAGTTCGGCTTAGGTTTATTCTCAAATTGTTCCAATTCTCGATTTATTTCCCTAAAAGCCTCCTCTTCATCGTATTCCGGTTCTTGGTTCATTATTTCGCAATTAGACAGCATGTTTGGATCTGGGCATGAAGTCCGCAAGCATGTCATGTTATTTAAAGCCGCATTATTAGCACTGAAAGAAAAGAGAAAAATGACAAAATCAGAAAGAATAAAGAAAGATGAACGATGAAATATTGATTTCATTTCTTGGAATTTGAAGATAACATGGTTTACATTGGAAAATTAAAAGACAAGAAGCTAAAGGAAACATCCGAGTTACACCCTAAAATAACTTGTGATGCAGAAAAGGTGGCAGGACAGGTCTACTGGGACTCCCTCCTGATCGGGAATAGCATAACCTTCCAATTCTGCAGCTTAGCGTTAGGTCCCATATACAGCACCTCAGCGGTGCTTGAGCCTTCCCCTGGCTGAACCATGTGGGCTTCATACAGTATCTTCCTCATTGTCCCACAGATCTCTTCAATCTCTTCGGCCGTGAAGACCTCATATTCTTCTTCCTCATGGTATTTTGGCTTGACAAATGTTCTGTACAGATGCGGCACCGGCTGAGGCAAGACCCAACCATCATTCTTTCTATCATTTGCCCATTTTACATCAGCTGGAGTGGGTCGGAAGCCTATCCCAAAGAATTTTTCACTAGCGGTCAGGGTGACAGGTTCAGTTATTCCTTGCAATGGTTTCCCGAGCCCCTTCCCCAGTTTGAAGCCATGTCTGATCATTTCTTTGGCCACCATAATTGATGCATTAAAAAGAAATGGTTGAGGGAAAGGGTTTCCCTCTTCGTAGTGGTCTACGACTACAATTTCAAAGGCTTGGTAAACTATGTGCTCACTCCCCTCTCTCGCTTCAAGACATGGGACTGATGGGTCCCGATAAATTTATTTCTCGTCTTCCCCGTGGACCACAATCTCTTGATCTTCATGCTCAAATTTTACCATCTGATGGAGGGTAGAGGGTACAGCCCCCGCTGCATGAATCCATGGCCTTCCCAAGAGAAAAATGTAGGATGTGCCAATGTCCAGAACCTGGAAGGTTACTTCAAAGTCTACTGGGTTGATGGTCAGAATCAGATCGATCTCTCCAATTGGGTCCCTTTTTATACCATCAAAAGCCCCTACACAGACATTGTTGGGTCGAATTCTTTTGGTCCCGATTTCCATACGCTATAGAGTTGAGTGGGCAGATGTATACCCCAGAGCCTCCGTCCAACATAACCCTTTTCACATAGTACCCTTCGCATTTGACTGTCAAGTGCAGGGCTTTGTTATACGCGGTCCCTTGTGGGGGCAAGTCATTTTTGCTGAAGGAAATCTGGTTAATTGCGAAAAACCTTTCTGCCATCCTCTCCAATTGTTCTACAGAAGTTTCAACAGGAACATATGCTTCGTTAAGGGTCTTGATCAATACCTTCTGATGTTTGGTGGAGTTCTTCAGCAAAGCCAACAAGGAGACTTGTTCGGGAAATTTTTGAAGCTGGTCGATCACCTCATAATCCGCCATTTTCATCTTTTGAAAGAAAGTCTCCGCTTCTTCGGCATTCACAGGCTTCTTAGATGGGAAGCACTTTCGAGTGGCATTTTTCACCTCTCCCAAGTTAGAATACTTTTCAACGGGGTTATTTTCTTGAATTTCTCCTGAGATTACTTTGCCCTTATAGGTCACCACTGTTTTGTTGTAGTTCTAGGGAACAGCGCTAGGATCTGTCATGGGCCTCTGTGGCGCGCGTCCAATAACCACGGGCTTACTCAGCCTTGGTGGATTAATTGTCCCCCGCATCACATAAGCTCCCTTGGGAACATACATTTGAGCTGCCTTATTCAGCTCGAATCTCCTAAGAGGACTCAAAGTCATCTGTTTTTCTTTGCGGCCCCGAGGGACATAGACAACAGCATCTTTGGGAGGTGTTGCCCTAATCCCCGCTTCAACTTTCTTCTCTTATTTTGGAGGGGTGGTTTTGTTCCTTTTCTCCCCTTTGTCTTGCTTCGGGGCAACTTTTGGTTTCTTTTCTACGTTAGCAATGAGAATGATGGCCTTCAATGCCAGGTCAAATTCCTTGTCCTCACAAATCATTCTGATTATCGGCCCGTTGTTGTGGGCCGGCAGCGGGTTGTTAGTCATATTGGGAATATCTTCATCCCTTAGCACAATTTCCCTTTGTTATATCAAGTTTTCCACGGCTTTCTTCAGAGTCCAACAGTTATCCGTGGCATGCCCTTCTGCCCCTGAGTGATAGGCACATCGGGTACCGGCTCTGTAAGCGGGTGATGTTAGGTTTTGTTTGGTTTGAGGAACCGGTTGTAGGAGACCCATTTGGACAAGCTTTGGAAATAGACTGGAGTAGAATTTGCCGATTGGTGTGAAATTTGGCCTTCTAGGTGGCTCACGAGGGGGAAAACTTTTTTATGAAGGATGGGGGTTATAGTGGTTTTGGTTAGGAGGTTGGTTTCTAGGAAATGGAGCTTGGTTACGGTTGGCTTGTTGTTGTGGACGGATATAAGGTTGAGCATTCATGACCGTGTATGGATGAGGAGCATAGGCCATGTCTTGGTGGGGGTAATAGTGTTTGTGGGGTCCTTTCTGGGAGAAGGGATCTGGCAGTACGGTGTTTTCTTGTACCCGACACTGCCATGGATGTTTCTTCATTTTTTTTGCCTTTTGCTATTCCTCCGTACCCACCTTGAATGGTTTGGGAAGTAGCTTTGATAGCGGATTGGCTTAAAATTTGACCCGTTTTCAACCATTTCACCAATCTTGATGGCTTCAGCGAACGGTTTACCCATGGCGGACATCATATTCTAGAAGTAGTCGGCTTCCTAAGCTTGTAAGAAAACTGTGACCATTTCGCCCTCATCCATCAGAGGTTTTACCCTAGATGCCTGCTCTCGCCATTTATGCGTACTGCCGGAAGCTTTCCGAGGATTTCTTTTTCAAGTTCGTTAACGAGTTCCTATTTGGAACAATATCAATGTTGTACTGGAACTGCCTGACGAAGTCTCTAGCAAAATCATCCC